TCTCAAAACAAATTACGGCACTTCAAATTATGTGTTCCGAGCACATCGTCTTTCGTCAGCAATGGTTTAGCGTCGCTTACAGATACAAATGAAATAACCTTATGTATCCTACTTTCCCAAATTCGTTGAATTTACGTTGTGAGATACTAAAAAAAATAGAAAAGAGATCTTCGCTTATATTTAAAGATTATTATATTTTGTACAAGCCAAACACAAGAATAAAATATTATATAAATACAGGGTGTCCTCTAGCGTTTTATTGTCGATGCTAAAATCTTGGTAAACCCTTGGAAGGCGAAAGAATATACAATTTTAAATTAGGAGCGAAAAAAGATCTATTGGTTTCAGTGTAATACGCGTTTTTCTTTTTTATGTGAGAACTGAAAACTTGCTTCTATCGAAAAATAAAAAAAAGGACTTTTTCTTACAATTTAGATCTAGTTGATTTATTAGGGAGGTAATATTTTGATTTTTTCAGGGGTTTTTTAATTATTTGAAAAAAATTATTATAAAAACCCCATAAGCACACTTATGCCCGGTTGCACAAACGAAAAATAACGAGTTATTGAACCATTAACTAGGTTATCGAATCGATACAAAAAATTACCTCCCTAGTGAATCAACTAGATCTAAATTGAAAAATGTTGGACAAAATAAAAAGCTCTGTAGATAAAAGAAAATATACTGGGAAGCTTGTTTGGCTCGTTTTGTCCGTGCTATACTGTATACCGTAGCTGTATGGTTTTTCCTTTTATTTGTAATTTTATTACCCTGCCTATATTAGAGGTATATAAATCGGTTGGCTGTCGTATATGCCCCCACGTATACGAAGAAACGACAAAAATTAATCTTTTTTCAGAAAAAAAAAAAGCCATACGTAGGTGAGCCATTAGAATTTTAGGTGAGAAGTTAGGAAGGTAGTAGAGGAAAAATTTAATGTATAAGTGTACGCAACGATTAATCATTATATCGAAAAAACGATTCTGAGTAGAGTTTAATTATAGTATTGCTTTTTCTACAATATATATGTCATATTATGGTAAAATAATTCCACATGCATTAAATATTTTCTTTAATAATATTTGTTTAATATAATATTTATTTTTCCGTTTTCCCATTTCTTTTTTACGGTTTTCCCAGTAAATGGGAAAACCAAAAAAATGACCTTTTTAAAGTATCACCCCTGTCAGATTTCCTTTCAGAAAAAGTGGTGTTGTTATATATTGAAATAAAATTGCTAGTAGGAAAGTTGTGCACAAGGAAAAAAAAGGCTGTAATATTTTTTTACTAATAATATACCTACATTTTCCCATTTTTCTTCCATTTTTTCCCATTTAGGAATACTTTAGGAAAACTCCTGAGAAAATTAAAAAATAAACACCATTGTGGAACTAATAGATTCATTCCATAATCGTCTTTGGAAACTTAAAAGCCCTTTGTCCCCCAGCACTGTAAGTATAGTATTATACGTAAACGAATAGAAAAAAATTCAATTATTACACTTTTGTTTCATATTTTTAACCCCTTTTTCCTCCAGCACCACAAAATGACCACTAAATAGTTAAAACTAATTCGTTGGACCTTTTTCAAAAGTTCTTAAGAACAATAAGGGTATTATTACCACAGTATTTTTTCATTTAATCGTAATCTGGTACCAGCTTCTCAGACCACATTTTTTTTTGTCTTCAAAGCTTTTAATTTTGTCCAACATATTCCAACAAACCCATGTGAATTTCATTATAAGTTGTACCTAGTATTTTAAAAAAAAAAGTAGAGTTAAATGTAGTAATTTATTTTATTGTGGTTTTAAGATCAAATTTTGATGAAAATCATAAATAATACGCTCTTTCAAATCATGTATAAATGTATAAACGAACATCGCTTAATATCGGCTTTTGTTAACAATGGTTTGTCGTTGCTTATATATATAAATTAAAAAACTTTATGTATCTTACTTTTCAAACTTTCCACCTACAATAGAGATGCTCCTATCAGCAGTATCAGCTCATTTTTTTGTTTTTTTTTTTTTTTAGTTTTTCACTTTTGTGAGTGTGCCACTGTTAATGGTGGACATTTGGGATGTAAAAGGTAATCATTTTTTTATACCCAATGATAAACCATTGTTCACAAAAAACGATTCTTACGATTTTTGTCAAAATTTGATTTTAAAAGATTACAAAAAAAAAACTACTATATTACGATCAATGTTTGTTTTTTCCATTAAGTTAAACCAAAAATTTTTGTGCGATCAGTCAATTTAATCCACATTAAACTAAATAAAAAAAAAACTAAACATCAACTAGATAGCATTATCTTTGAGAAAAGACACTTATCTTTTGGTTCAAAAATCCAAAAATCAAAAATAATGAAATATTAACCGCAACTTCGGTTATATTTGTCCGTTTTTCCTGTGCGTTTTTTTTCCCCCAATTATTAAAAAAACCACTTGAAAAATCAATAAATGACCTCTTTACACCACCGGGTAACACACAATTCCTCGAATTATACCTTTTTACCTACACGATTCTCACAAATTTCCACAAATATATTACTTTAAAATAACACAATTCTGCATAAATATTCGGTTATGTTTAATTATTAAAAAAAATACACGAAAAATAAAAAAACGAGTTTTTTAATCACCGACTAAATTAAAAATTCAACAAGGAAGGTCTCTTGTTGTTAGTTTATTGGAGCAATATTTCTGGTAGTAGGTAAATATCGTGAAAATTTAAAATAATGAAACCGTATGCCGTAAATTGGTTCTTTTTTCATGTTTCGTCTTATTCCGGTTTTCCCTCAAATTATGAAAACCGTTCAGAAATTTAAAAAAAAGGTTATCTTTGTCATCCACTAAATTCAAAATGTGACAATAAAAGTTTCTTATCATTCTTTGATTGAAGCAAGATTTATGGCAATAAACATAAGTTACAAAAATGTAAAATCATGAAATCATTATGCCCAAAATATTTGTTCGTTTATCCCTACTTTTATTCCCAGTTTTTCCCAACTATATGAAAACCCCTTGGAAATCAAAAAATTATTTTCATAAAATACCAACTAGATAAAATTTCCTTTCAGGAAAAGTGCTACACTATCGGTACATTAAAATAAGATTTCTAGTAGAAATTGTGTACATAGCAGTAGAAAAAAAAAAACATTAAAACACCATTGTAAAACTAATACATTTCTCGCTTCACTCAGAATCTAAAACAAAAACAATTTGAAATGTTAACTGCAGAGATACCTATATTAGCATCAGGAAAACGCGATATAGAACCTTGTGTATATTACCTTTACTTTGTCCGAAATAAAATCGCGTGCGTTTCGGTCCATGTTTCTGCAATATGCGTATAATAAATAAAATGTGTTTCACCAGCGTACACACATATTATTGGTATTCGCCTTTGTAAACGTATATATACGAATATATATGTATTTTTGATAATTTTCGCCGAAAATTGTGTATAGGTAAATGTATATACGTGTATATACGTGTGCACGTTTTAATCCCGAGAGTACAATAATATAATATACGAATTACAATTCCGGTACACCGAACTAAATATTTAACACAGCTTAATGCACCTTTTCACCCTACAATGTAGCTACCTCTTTACATATAAATGCTCACTAATGGCTGCGTATAGGTAAAAATAGGATCGATGTAGTCCGGTTTCAAAAACGAATTCGCTATTGTACAATCTCAAAGCTATAGGTATTGACATTTAAACTATGATGTGTTTTTAGTCAAATTTTCCCCAAAATTAGAGACTATATTCTACTGTACTGTGTCTGTTATACAGAATGATTCACTAAACGTGCTCACTTAATTTTTTCGTTAAATTTTGCATACATTAAAATCCTGATATTTGGAATTTTTAAGTGCAGTTAAAGCCAATATTTTCGGATACTTCGATTTTTCAGAACATTTAAGAAGTATCCTATGGCGATACCAACTTTGATTTTCCAAATGAGAATCTATAATGAAAATTCCATAAATAGACGAAGTATTACTCTAAATAAATCTTAGTAACAGTATTTTTGATTTCTATCAACCCGTTAACGAGGGTTTACCTACTTTAAAATGTTTGTAGGGGGAGAATAGTGGAGTATTTAACTTGTGTAGTGACACAAGGTGCACCATGTATACATATTATATACAGACTGTCCCACAAGGATATACTTGATATCTCCGGAGATAATAAAGATAATCAAATTCTGTTTTTTTTTTTTTATATTACTCACAAGGATGAGGATAACAAACATATATATTTGAATTAATTTTTTTTTATTGAAAAAAAAAAAATAAATATTTTATTATTTTCGGAAAATGTTTAGATAGTCATTCTGTATAATTTATTTGTGTCACACGTTCATATCTTTATAACTTTTCGTTCAAATTTCGATTTCAATACTTTAACTTTTTCATAAAAATCATGTATTTAACAATTTATGTTAAAATCGGGAAAAACACATAGGAAAACGAAAAAATAAGTACAATATTAAACAAATATTATTAAAGAAAATATATTATAATGCATATGTATTTGTTTTACCACAATATGACTAGTGTATCGAAAAATGTATTAGTTTTACTAAGATGCGATTTTTTTTTAATAAAATAATAATAAATTCGATTTTTCAAATCTAACCTTCCCAGTTTCACTTATTGAAATCAAACATTTTGAAAAAAGGAACCCAAGAGTTTTGATTAATGTATACGATATTAAAAACTGTACGATTTTTTATCAAAACAATAGTTAACATTCGAAAACAACCCCCAAAAAACAAAGTATAATTGTCCCGTTAAAAGTTTGCGATAAAGAGCTGGAATATCATTTTGATTTACTATTGATCGACGGATTGGAGAGGAAAAAACACTATTGTTTAATAATTGTTACAATAACTAATACTTGTAATAACTATTGTAATAATTTGATTGAATTATTTATTTATACAAAATTATTAACTTTACTTTTTCTAGATACGCATGGGCCATGTCTAAATTTTTACCTAAAGATGGGTTTCATTGGTATACCGGAGATATAAGCGTAGCCCATATAAACACTATGCTAAATAACATGGATGATGAATCGGACGTTGATATGGTTTTGGAAATTGACGTATCTTACCCAGAAAAGTTACATGATCAACATAATGATCTTCCATATCTACCGGAAAAAATGGTCCCAACTGGGAGTAAACTACCTAAACTCACAGCGAATTTACAATATAAAATAAATTATGTGGTACATTATACTAAGCTAATCCATTACAGTTGAATAAAGTCCATAAAATAATTAAATTTAATCAATCGCCGTGGCTTAAAAGTTATATTAGTCTTGTAACTAAAAAAAACTAAGTTTGGATTGTTTTAATCCGTTAGACGGCTGTAAAATTCCTCTATTTTCGGTAATTCCTTCTCCTCCAACTTTTCCCAACAATCAGTATACTCATACGGATATACCCCCTTACGAGATACTAATTCCATATCTTCGCAGTCGAATATTTTAAGTGATTCACGGAAATTTTTCTGGTCAGATTCTAGGTATTTTGCCAATTTTTCTAAACTCGTTGGCATAAATCTGAATGTATCTATAAACCTAATTGAGATACTGCTACTGACTCGTTTAGAAAAGGAAATATATTTTTCTTCACTATTGGGAATAACGTTTATTGATTGCGTGTCATAACCGAATTGTGTAACAATAAAATGAGCGTCGTAATTATTTAAATTATATAAATAACAGGGTATAAATGTGAGAAATTTTAATAATAAATTACATTTGTTACAAATGGTTTGAATGTATTTCCCGTTCAAATGATTGTGGTGTTTAACCACCCCATTACGTTAGGTTAGGTTTGGGGATGAAGGTTCGGGGGATGAGGGTGACTGTTCTGTGCGTACAGCACTATGGGGAGGGGGAGGTTACGGGGAAGAGGATAAGGGGGCTGTACGTACAATACGGGGAGGAGGAGGAGTGGTGGGGAAGGAGGAGGAGGGGCGGGGAAGGAGGAGGATGAGAATGAGGGTGCTAAATCCCCATTTTCCTACTACTCATATGCTTATTGTGAAATACCATTTACAGATTGTATATTTTCAAATAATTGTTTTTTTGTTGTACCTAATTCAGTTAATTTATTTTGAAAATTTTTTTTATGTTTGATTTTTCATTCATCTCTACGTTTAAAACTGTTGTACTGGTCAATATTTCTATGGATATAGAATTTCTTTAAATAATTATTTACCGTATTTAATTTTGAAAAAGATCGTGCAGCGGAAGCTACAGTAACAGGAACGGTGAAAAATATTTAACAAATAGCACTTAAAATACTAAACAAGTAGATTGTAGACGCTAAATCCTGTTCAATAATAAATACTTATAGCTAATTCATGTTTTTAGTCAGATGAATGGCCAACGGGGTAATACATTTATATTTATAATTATTTATTGTTATCTCCTATCACCATCTAATTCATCAAAAAACTTACTAGCTGTTTTATTATATTTTATTTAAAATATAAAATTATTACTTATTAGTCCATTTAGCACAAAATTTATTTGTAGATCGTATGCAATAAATCATATTTTTCACGAAAATTATTTAGGTCTTTAATAACAAAAAAAAAATCCTCAGTAGATCGAAGTAAATTTGTACTCAAACTTTGTAATAACTTAGACAAAACATACTTAAAATTCTTCCTCAAAGGCATTAAGATAAAACAAGCTCAGTTGATTGAAAGTTTTTTGACAATGTACGGGCCTGATTTTTTTATCAACTTTTTTGAAAGTGAGCTGTATATGTTCAAGTGATATTAAAACGTCAATAAATCTTACCTTAAGTAAATTTTTGGTAGTTTTTAACTCAATAACAACAAAAAAACCCAAATACCGTACACTCTGCTGTATTTCCTAAGTTTTTTTCCGGGTTTTCGTAATTATATGAAAAATGTACAGAATATCAAACAACGACTTTTTGTTCACAAACTAGACAAAATATTCTTTCAGAGAATATGCTACTCTTGAAATTCGGACAAAAATTTCTGATAAAAAATATAATCTTAATAATGTAAAATAATGAAATTGTTGCGCTCTAATTTGAAATTAAATCGTATTTTACATATTTTTTGGTTTTCTCCATTTATTATGAAAACTACTTCAGATTCAAAAAAAAGGTTATATATCTTAAATGTTAGATATTAAATGAAACAATATCGATCTCGTCATTTTTCGATTAGAGCAATATTTGTGGTAGAAAACATAGTTTGCAAAAATCACAAATGATGAAATCGGTAACGCTGTGGTGCACAATGACCCGAATCGTAAATTAATTAACATTAATTATTAATAGGTATCTTTTTTAGTTTTGTTATTTTTCGATTAGAGGAATATTTCCGTTGAAAAACATAAGTTGAAAAAATTAAAACAATGCAATCGATAACGCCGCGGTGTGCCGTAAATATTAAAAAATTAGAGCACACGTGAAACCAAAAAGTATTATTTATTTTTTAGAAAAAGTATTAGTTATTTCAAAAAAAATGTTTGTAATAATATAGCGAAAACAATCTACATCTTTTAACGCACCTTATTTATTTATATCTGTAAGCAATGATAATAAACCATTGCTAACTGAAAGCGATTCGGAGTGGTTCAGTTATACATGTTTGAAAAGCCATAATATTTACGAATTGCGTCAAAATTTGATATTAAAACTTTTATAAAAATAAAAAAATACTATATTACTCTTAAATTTATTTTTTTACCACTAATTACAACTTCCTATTAAATATTGACAAATTTTTGTTGTCGTCAACAATTGTATACACGGAGTACATAACCAATTAAAAATGACGTAAAAAACTTGCGAAATTTAAATGTCCATAAATAGCTCAAAAATGCTCTAATGTAAAAATAATAGATAATTTTTATACACAAAATATGTATTATAGTATATTTATATACCAGGATGTGTACAAACTACAAGGACTAAGGAACAACTGATTTCTAGCAATGTCGTTGGTACGATTCACTATTCAATGGCAAATAATTGAACATTTTTCCCTGGGATTTTCATTTTTGTTTTCGGGATTATCTTGGCAGGCCGATACGTACATGTCTTACATTTCAGAAAAAAAAAAAAAAATTGAACAGTATATGACGTTAAACCGACATGTTATATTATATACAGCTTCGCGTGCAAAACAAATCCCCTCAAGACTTTGCAAAGCCCGCAATTATTGTCTGCTATACTATATAGGTGTATATAATGTAAAAATAAATAACAATGACGTTTTCAAACAACTATTAGTTATCACGTATTATATATTACATACGAAACCGACGGTTTACACAAGCGTCAAGGTAATTTCGTGACGAATAACAAAACTGTCTCGTATAAAACAGCTGCGTGCGAGATGATATTCTTCATCGAGTACCACGGTCTCAAACAGTTATTTATTTCGATAATATTGTGTGCGCTTTATTTTGGACTAGTAAAAACGATATTTATTTTGATAACGAACCATGTATGAGTGAATGAAAATTTCAATAAGATATAAATAAAAGTGTCAAAATATGAATTTTGAACAATTTTCTTATTTAAAAATTGTAAGTTTCTATATGATATTATAGTAAATATATATACTATAAAATCGTCACGTATTGCATTTGTTGTATTTGTTTTTTCCCTGTGACCTACCCGACATGGTTTTGCAAAAAAAAAATTTTTGGAACTCGGGTTTGAACTCACGACCTCTGAGTTGACAATATATTGTATGTATTATCAACACTATTATAGACTACGACAGACATATTATATAATCAACATAATTGAGTAATTTAACATAACACATATAATATCATAACTTCGAAAAACTTTAATTTTGAAACTAAGTCGTTATCAATGGGTTATCGTTGGCTACAGGTAAAAATTAAATAATATCAGTATCAGCTCTTTTATTTATTTATTTTGGAGAAAATACAAATTTTGTTTGTTAACATATGTTAGGTTATTAATTTATGTAAAAAAATGACTAAATATTATAACTGCATTTTAAATTCCTAATGTTATTAAAATTATAAGGAAATTATTATTTTTTCTTTTATCAGTTCATAATATGAATATTAAATTTTCTTATTGTCCTTATATATAGTAATACAACAATTAAAAATGAAAAAACCACTCATAAAGTAGAATTTTAATATTTTGGTAATTATTGATTTTTTAAAATCGTTCTCTTGTAAAGTTGTTATTTTTAGTTTTTTTTTTTACTGTTATATTTTACCAACATTTTAATATCATTACCCGAGTACTTATTGGTTATTATTATTGAACGCACTTATGTGTAAAAGGTATTTAATTTACCGAAATAATTAAGACAAACTGTAGAAAATATATTGTCGCATACCTTTACAACGAAGGCACATTATTAAAATAGGCGTTTTTAGGAATCATTTACGGTTAAATACCAACCTGTAAAACATGTATAATCATTTTTAATGACCGGCAATTACTGGAAGTACACGTTAGGTTTAGACGTATGGGCGTCATGCATTTGGGTGAATTACTTTTTTTCCCGCATAATAAAAACAGTGTGTTTGGACAAGTTCCTTATAATGTGTTTGAACAAATTTTTAATGACGTGTTTGAGGTATGACGAGGTATGACGAGTATGATAAGTACATTGTAAAATATGTAAAAGATAAAATTGTAAACAACACATACTAAAAATGTCATAGAAAAACTGCAGCATATAATATTTTACGATTGGTTTTTCTGTATCATCAATCAGATAAGATAACAAAAATTGCGATTTCTTTGTAAGTTATAATATTATATTGATCTAAACTTAATAATTATAAATAATAAAATAATAAAGTAAAACAAAATTATTAAAATGGTTAATAATCGTAAATAGTATAGTAAATAACTATAGTTTTTCAAAAATTGAGTTTGCTCGAACATTGGAAAATTGAACTGAAAACTCGTTATAGTGTAAATATATACAATTAACTATTGCGAGTCTGTACCAAACATGGGTCTTAAAATTAAAAAAAACGTTTTTACTACAATAATGAAATAAACGATGCATTTCGATTAAAAATGTTTAATCATACTCGTGGAATTTGCAAACAGTCCCAATTTTATATAAAAAATTATTCCCAAAACTATATGTTGTGTACACCTGTACATATCTTCATACCTTGCTATCTACTGGGAATTCTGTGAATCATTTAGATTTCTTTTACTCTACTAATCAAACTTATTATCACTTATTATTATATACTTATTTGTGTTTTATCTTTCATCTTTGTATTGTTTTAATATATTATAGCATCTATGATACCTAATTCTATTATTGTATTTATAATGTACACTATTATATAATTATATAGGTTTCAACGTAAATTGGACTGATGTCCGTTAAATAAATGAATAAACAAGAAGTCTAGTCTATCAAAACAATAGGGAAAATGGATTGTTATAAGTCAACCAAACCCAAACACATTATTACAATATTTTTAAAATCACTCGCCCAAACGCACTGTGGAAAATTGTCCAAACACAATGCAATTTTTATAAATTCACTCGAACGCAAACCACCCAGGCGTATAATTTTATTGACTGTTGTGCAAGAAATACAAGTAGGTAGATAGGTAGGTAGGTACCTGTGTTACGTAATACGTTTTGTATAGTCAATAGCACTTATTAGATAGATAGGTACCTAAACTATTATTGTAGTTTTGGACCAACTGATTATAATCATTATTATTGATTGAATAAATAATTATCGTACCCAGTTCAAGTTTATTTCCAAAAAACTTTTACATCAAAAATATTTCGAACAAACCTACTATAAAAACGAGTTCTTCTCTACCTGTTGTAGGTACGTCGTCGGGTAAAATCTCGGCAAAGCTGTGGACAACGGTCAATAGTCGATTACGAAAAATTATACGTGATAATTTATTGTATACGAATATTGTGTAGGTACAATTTATTAACATGACTAATCCTTCAATTTTCTTATATGTTTGTTTAAACGGTGAGTCACTATATTATTGTTCTTTATTCGTGTTGATCTTATGTAATAATATTATAATTTATTATTTTAGTATGGATTTTGAAAAACCAAATTATAAGTATGAATTACTGTGGGCAAATCATAAAAACCAGTAAATAGTTCTAAAAATGCATTAAAAAAAAAAAAAAATTATAAAAAGAGATAAATCTTTTTCACTAAAAAAGATTGTGGTTGTTTGTATTACTGCACTACAATTGATTAAAACAGTATGTTCTTGGTCAAGACTAAGATCAGATTGTTTTGTATCAAGACCAATTTTGATCATCGGTCATCACTCATCACTAAATTCTTATTAAAAGTATTAAGATCTGCACGGATAAGTAAAATAATAAAAATGATTTACATTTATTCCATTATTTTATAGTTGAAAAAATATATTTATATTTTTTCAAAAAAAATGTCTTTAAAATTCGTAAGTACTTTAATCACAATCGTTACCCATAGTATTGAGACGTCAATAATTCTTTAGGTACACTTAAATATCTCGATAACTTGCATGTGTGTACTTCGAATTTTTGGAAAATTACAAATAATATTGTCACAAGTCATAATAACATACGACTTATTTTATTTTTACAGAGCTACCTACCTATATGGATTTTCATATAACAAACAAATAAAACACTTGTTATGTACTTACCTATTCGGTTTGGTCATCGTGAGAATCAATGTAATAGGTGATAATAATTAATGGTAATATAAATTTACAATGAAAATGTATTATAATAACTTTTACCCTGTTTAGAGATAATAATATACCAATAGGTAATAAGCTAGACATTTATTTTTCTCATCACCAACTTTTTTCGACGATTAACTCACGAATGTCGTAAAATATTATTTGTGTACTTTTTGTTACAATATTTCAAATCATATATAGGCTAAATGATAAATAGTGGAAAAAGTTGAAACTATCGTAAAAAATATGAAATGTAGAAAATGAACGTAATATTTGTATCATAAAATAACATTTATTGCCATATTATTATTCTGTTACTTTTACGTTTTATAAACTATAATGTACCAACAAAATAATAGACAGTTTTTTAGGTTACTTAGATAGCAATTAATTTTAAAAATTAAAAATTGTTCATCCTAAGAAAAGAAAAAAAAGGTTTATGCGAGTTTACATCATCGTTAATCGCGTTACAGGAAAACGAATACATTACGAAAATTCTACGCTACTGCTATTATATAATATTGACAAGAATTCTAATAGTAATTATTTTTTATTGTGTTTCGTAAGAAGTTTTTTTTTGTTGAATAATACGAGACGATTTAAAATATTATAATAGATAAAATAATAGGTTTTAAAATACAATCAAAATGTTATCTATACAGATTGTAATATATTTTATTCGAGACCAGCTTATGGGCGACCGGGGTTATCTACAACTGAATACCTACCAAATATATAATATAATATTAATATAACTGTGATGAGACCAACGTTTTATCTTAACGGTCGACAACAATTATTATTACCTAATTAAAAAATTGTTTATTATTTTTTATTACAAATGGTTATCATTAGACAAGATACTAAAAACGGTGTAAAATACGTTCCTAAAATTTAACATAAAAATAAAAATTATACAAAACTAAACAAATTTTAACATAATTATTATATAATAAAATTTATAATACAGAAAATATCTCATTTTTTATCCGTCGAAAATCTAATGCTACAAATACAAAATTATTACTATTATACGGATACACGATGATCAGTCGAAGTAAATGATTGATTACCAAATAAGATCTCTATAACCTTGCCTAGTTCAAAAATATCACAGGCGAGTTTATCAAGATCTCACTCAATAGTCAAGTGTGTGTTGAACCGAAAAATGTAGAAAACGACGACGACGACTGCACAGGAGGTCGTCGTCGTCGTCACGCACAGCCGGGCGGGCCACGGCGTTTGGTGAAGAACCAAACGGCCCGGTAGCTGTTCTCGGCTGGAAACGAACACGTTGTGTTTTGTAGGTAGCGCCCGATCGCTCTTCCGGCGCTGACTAATAAAACATCGTCGTCCGTCGCTGACGACGGCCGCGGGCGTGTGACATTGAAACCGGAGGCCCCCGTCAGCCGCCCGTCCTCACGTGGTGGCGCGCCGTCCGACCGGATTCCTCGGGTTCTGACCTGTAGACAGACAAACAAATAGAGAGAGGATAGAAAAAAAGAATGAAGCGGATTGGAAGAGAAAACGAATTTAAAAAGAAAAAAAAAAACCGAACGGTGAGCGGACGGGCGGTAGGCACGTACGAAACGTGTTGCGCCGCCGGTACTCTCGCCTCTTGGATTACGAATTAAGGACGACGACAAGGCCAGTTCTTACCAATTACGGAGAACCGCGCATGCGCGCGTGCGTGAACGGTAGCGAGCGCGCGCACGCACAAGGCACGTTTTCCATGCTTCGGAGTTTCGACACAACCTCAAAATACCGCACGAGGTTGTTGGCCCCTGATGGCGGCGATCTCTTGGCGAGAAAATAGCGAAATAAAAGAGAAAAAAAAAAAATGTTTTTCGATATATCAAAATCGAAATACACCGACGGGAAATAATTATTACGTGGGTATAATGATATGGCGGTGGAAATTTCGAAAGAAAGAACTAGGAAAAAAAAATAGATCGCGTAATGAAAAATACGAAGACCGACAGACGACAACGGAAGACCTCCGCTGTCGCTGTCCACGGCCGAAATGGTCGGGTGGCGCGGCGGCGGCCGTATACCGACGGCCCGACGTCGGGCAATGGAACGCGAACGAATGAATGCGGCGGCGGACGTATGCGGACACGGCCGCCGCCGCGCCAGTGGGTTTGCCGTTGATGCGCGGCGGATGATGACGGGTGGAGGGGGGAGGGGGGCGACGGAGTCGTCAGAGCGGGGTAACGGCGGACATGGCGGCGGTGGCGGAGGATACGACGAACGAGCGAGCGGCGGTATGTTCAACGAGCACGGAGGACGACCACGACCGGCCGGGCCGAAGGAAAATGTGGAAAAGAAAGACCAACGGCGGCGCGCGGCCAGCACACGTCGACGGCCGCCGCAGTCGCCGCCGTCACACGATAATAATAATAATAATAATAATATTATAATGTTGGTGTATTATACCACGAAACGAATACATATAATAATAATATTATAACGAGTTCCCCGGTTCCCTCTCCGGACGGCGAGTTTCGACTCCCTCCATCAGCTGCCGCGCGCCGCGACCTCGCTCCACCAAAACCTCCTACCCACCCGCCCGCGACGACGCTGCGGCACGTCCGCACCGCCGCCGCCGCCGCCGCCGCTTCGGAGTTCGCGGACGAGTCGGTTTCGTGTCGGAATTCCGATGCGGTTACCGCCGCCGTCGCCGCAGCCGCGATGACGTCACGATGCAGGGACGACGACGATCGGTCGGCCGACCACGCCGCAGCAGCAGCAGCAGCAGCAAGCTAGGTATAATATTGTTGTGCGCGTGTGGTATGCGGTATGTCGTCGTCGTCGTCGCCGCCGCCGCCGCCGCCGCTGCAGTATTACGATGATTATTATTATTATTATTGTATATTATACAATGCAGCGGCGCGCGTCCGTATACGAAATAATAATTATTATTATTTTCCCGTATAATATTATTATGGTATTTTCGTGCCCGGCCGCATAGAAATCCCAATCCGTACGACGGCCATAAACGAACGTACGGTTGTTTTTTTCTTTTATTCCTTTTTTATTTTCCGTTCGCTGTTCTCCTTCGCTCTTGGTCTCGTCGGGTCACCCGCGTTCTTATTCGTATATCCACCGCTGCGCCGCCGCATACCGCGCATACCGTCACAATAATATTAGGTATCTACTCGTATTAGGTTTTGCTCGTCACAATAACGGTACTTTTTTCTTTTACGCGCACCGCAAAGTATTTTTCTCTAGTTAATGTCCGCTGCGCGTGTTCAATCCCTCGTCCCTCAGAAATGCTCCACGAGCAAATAGAACAAAATGTATCTACTCACCTCCACCCGCGGTTCCACTACCACCTCTTCCACCGGTGAGAGCAGTTTCCTATTTAAAATACATTATTAATCTTACTCGTATTAGGTGTCTAATGCACTTAACAGTGTGTCACAGATAACCTTAAAAAATGTCTTGACACACGATGACAATAAGTATTCCGGGGTGTTCGCAAACAATGTCCCGTTCACCCGTTAATGGGTTAAATTTCGCACGAGAACCGACCTTTGAAGACCATAATCATGTATTCGAGTATTCATGTATTCATTATTCGAGAAAAACGATATTTGTGCAACATAAATTAATAATATTCGGGAAATATACCATTTGGAAAAAACGACCCTCGGGAAAAAGGCTGTTTGGGAAATTTGATTAGGGATAAACGACGGGAACCCTATCAATCTTAATTCCATTCTCAATACGAAATCTGAAACTGCTATAAAATTATTATAACTTTTATTTTGAAAACTAGCTTTATTATTTAATATAGTTGTGTATATTTTGTATCCATCATTGTATTTGTCGAGTACTATGATAGTAGCAAGCTAGTAGCTAAATTAAAAAAAAAACCCATGTATACACATATAAAAATGCATGTTAGGTATTATGTATTCTAAAATTGTTCAAAGAATGTTCAAAAACTTCGTGGAGGGAAGAGGTTGTTTCATAATAACCCCTCACCTCCTCTTGTTTGCCTGTATAAATAAACATATATAAGAAAAAAAAAACCGTAGCCTGGAGTGTTATATGTATAAATATATATTATAGTTATATAGGTATTTGTATTTATTATACTATATACAACCGGTTTCGATTATAAAATTCATCGTCAACAAAGTCAGTCAGAAAAAAAAAACGTGTTTTAAGAACATTTTTTTTTTTGTATTGGTAAAGTGTACCTATAACATTGGCCGTGAGAGAGACGAGTGTTTATCAAGAGTTTTTACTGCGACGTTACAAAAAAAAAAAGCTGTCCTAGAATAATGGGGACGGGTGCAGCTACTGTCATAGGTAATTTAATGTATATCAGTAAGCAAAGATTAATCATTGCTAACAAAAAAACAATTCTGAGCTGAGCTCGGTTGATAGTGTTACTTTGTCAACAATATACGAGTATATATCATATCGTTATGGTGAAATGATTACATTGCATTATATATTTTCTTACATTATATTTGTTTAATATAATTATACCTATTTTCCCATTATCTTTCCTAAAGTACCACTCCAGTCAGATTTCCTCTCAGAAAAAATGCTACACTCGTAAATCGGATCAATATTTCTGATAGAAAAGTTTATAGATAAAAAAATAATGAAATATCGTTGTAAGACCATAAGCTTCTTCACTCCATTCATAAACTAAAAATATTTTAAACTGCTATCTATATACACAAAGATAAACCAATGTTGACAAAATATGATTCTCACCAACTTAAAGGTTTATTTTTAAATAGAGTTTACAAGACAACCGATCAATCATGGTTGGTTATCAATTGTAAACTAAGTTTAGAAATCAAATAAATTAAACTTTTTCTGTTGGTGAGAACAGCCATGAGGAAAGTCCGAAGTACAAAAAAATATGTTTGGGAATACTATGATTTTTTTGATTTGCGTTAAAATTTAAACTTAAGCTCTTAAAAAATCTATTACGCACGTTCAATTTGTTCATGATCAGCAAGTATAAATTTACTTATAATTATGAACCTTGTATTAATATTTGTCAATACAATTTTATTTACATAAATTCGAAAATGAAAAATGCCTATAAATAACTCAAATATTTAACCACATCTAGGAAAGGGTATAATATGATATAACAGAAAAATTTCCCGGTTTTTTCCAATTTCAAGAAAACTACACGGAAAATCAAAAGACGACTACCTAGACTAACTAGACTTTTCTTTCGGAAAACAATTTTAAATAATGAAATTGTTAACGCAGTAAATGTTTGTTCGGTTTTCCTATATAATTTTTTCCCGGTTATTCCCGATTATTTTTAAAATCACTTGGAAAATCAGAAAAATGACCTTTTCAATACACCAACTATATCCGAAATGCAACAAAAAAGATCTCTTGGACCATGATTTCTAGTAGAAAAGTTGTTCACGGACAGAAAAAAAAAGCATACATCATAATAAAACAGTAAATAATAATACATTTCTCATCAATATATGTTTGGAATCTAAAAATAAAGTTTTTACGAGACAGACGGAAAGAAAAAACAAATAAACGTCGAGACCTGTGATGTCTTAAAGAGCTAGAACACTGCAGGATCCGTTTGGTTCGTTCGCAGCCTAAATGTGACAGATCGTCGTCTATCAGTCGTCTAAATAACGCGCGTTTCTTTGGTCAATATTTTGTTATTATGTCGAAGCACGATACGGACTGGCACGAACGGAATGTTAAAAAACTAAACTGAATGGATGCAGAGCTGTTGGTAATATATTATTTAGGTACAGTCATTATGCAGTTTAACTAAACGTGACTGAACTTAACTGTCAACGAATCCGACGTGTGCTCACTCCTTAACGGTCTTAACAGAGCATTTTTCAAAGAGATTTTTCGTGTCTAAATAAACATACAGTAAAGTTAATTGGACATTCGGTAGAGTTGGATTTCTTTTACTGTGTGCCCACTAGAAAATAAATGGGAAACAATTAAGTTAGTAAATTTTGTAATAAAACCTTATATTACATGTAGGAAATACTCTCACTAACGGGAGAGCGTTAACTGGAGAAAATCTATGATATCAACTTTCCAAAATGGAAAGATTGGTTCTATCTACTTGTGAAGCTTTTTATCAGGGAAAGGGAGTGAACATACAGATGGATTCACTAAAAAAATGCCCTGTCCTAACCTTCATTTAACCCGGATCCATACACATTTATTATTATTGACAATACTAATCTGTAATTTAAGGAAGGGAGGTGAACTGGTATTAATAAAGGTACAAGACCATAACGGGAAAATAAATTGGAGGTTGGGAGGTCTGAAATGTTTTAGTTTACTATATACACATATTTTTTACGTTCAAATAATGAAGAGAATACTCTTTGTACACCACTTGAAACCCCTCCACCCATATTATGGCATTGGTTACTTATATATAATTTAATAAACATTTAAAAAAAAAGTCCACTACTGGC